AGGTACAATTCCCAATGAGAAATGTAATTGTGTTGTATACCTACAATGTACCAATAAAAGAATTTAATAAAAAAAAAAAAGAAGAAGTAAAAGTAAGAACACCATCCACTGGTCCTCCACTGTACTCTGTACATTTGCCTACAGAGCACTTTAAACACTAATACTCTTGTCTGTTTATACCTTTTATTTATTCTGTTTAACTTCCTGGAGGGTTTAGGCTGGGTTTTACTTATCTTTTTTTATATTCAGAAACAGGAGCCTTAATTTGTATTTGTTTAGTGACTAACAGTTTACATGTTAATATATAATTTTCATAAACATCTTAAATATCTCCTTAGTGCTTCAGAAAGTACACCAGTCTCCTATTATTACGTATTTAGGCTATTTTGAAATCTTTACTAACCTAAGGAAAGCTTTCATTTGTTAAAAAAATTATTTAAAATTATTCCCTTAGTATATCTTACCAGAAGTAAATTAATATGTAAAAGAAAAAAATTAAAGTTCTTGATAGTGACAAACAATGTTCATCTGGTTATACTGTCACCAGTCATACACATGAAGCTGCATGGAAACTTGTATTTCAAAAATACCATTTAGTTTTTTTTGTGTGTGTGTTTTTTTTCTTTGCTGATTTGTTAAGGAAAAAAAAGTGACATCTTTCTTTACTCTGTATTTCTTGACTTTCTGGTAAACTTATACATTATAATAATCTTTGCAAATAAACTGTCTTTCCTCTTATGAATTTTCTGTTCATGTACTCTGCCTATTTATCTCTTGGGTTTCAGTGTTAACAATTTATGTGACTTTTTATACATTAAAGACATTAATTAACCATCTTATATAATTGAATCTAACATTTTTCTTAAATTTCCCTTTTATTCTTATTGTTTAAATACAGACATTTAAGGACTCAAACTTAAGATCTGTTTTTGTACTTACTGCATTGCATCTGATGTCTATAATCTGTAGGGTGTAGTGACCTTTGTGTTTGCATAAAGGTTTATGTTAGAGGCACATCTCAGCATTTAGTTATCAGCCTGATACCACGGTCTAACCACAGTTTAATTTTGACTGGGTAAATATCTTTATGAAGTAATACTGTATAGATCTTCATGAATTGTTTTGGGAGATAACTTTTAGCCAATATTGGATGGAACAGTTGAAGTGCCAGGAAATAGTGGGTAACTGTTCATTTCTTTAAGAATTTTGCGAAGTTCTGATTCTATGTTTTTAACTTTTTAACTAAATTAAATGAAAAGAATATACTTGAATATACTTTGGGGGAAAAGTCCCAACATAATCAAATAAATGTCAGCTCCAATACAGCTGCTGGTAATGTTAAGCTCATCCCTAATATCTGAAAGAACAAAGACAAATCAGTACATATATGTTAGACTTTCCAAATTCTTCACCAAATTATCAAATATCTCTCTAGGATACAAAACAAACCTTTAAATCTCATTATTCCTTTATATATTTGTGAAAGCTTCAAAATTTCACAAGGGAAATAAGCCTTTCTTCAAAAACAAACTTTGTAATTTAAATATAAAGGCAGACAAAGCGTAAAAGGTGTATTTTAACCTGTCAGACAGAAAATCACTGTTAAAAAGAAATTGGTAAGGGGCCGGGGATTTAGCTCAGTGGTTTTGCTGCCTGCTGCACAAGCGCAAGGACCCGAGTTCGATCCCCGGTACCAAAAAAAAAAAAAAAGAAATTGGTAAGAAAACTATAATTGACTTTGTACATATAGCCTAATAGTGAATGTGTGATAAGATCAATCACTTTTCTGGTGGGCATATCTGTGTCTTATTTTACAACTAAAGCATAATTGGGGGGGAGGTTTACTAATTGCCTGAATGCTTTTCCCTCATTTAGTGTAGCTGCCAGCTTCCAATTCTACTAGTTAATGTCATATATTGATTCTATGGTGGTTTTTGTTTTTTGGGGTTTTTTTGCATTTTAGTCTTAGGGATTGAACACAGGGCTTTTGCACTGAGTTACATCACTCTAGCCCTTTACTTTTACTTTGAGACAGGCTGAATTCGAACTTGTAATCCTCTTGCTTCAGCTCCCAGAGTATTGGGATTATAGGCTTGTGCCACCTTGCCTGGCTTGATTCTAGTTATAACCCTAGCACCTAATACAGTCCTTGTGAAACATATAATAAATCAACTAGTTCCCACAGTATGTATCATGGTTGTGAGATACAATAGAAAAGGGAATCAAAAGGAACATCTATTCTACATATCATGAAGAACTGTGCTAGCTCTTTTTAAATTGTACTTGGTGCTACACTTGCCAAGCCCCTTTAAGTCACCATTACTCTTCATAAAACTGAGTGATTTTATTAAATTGATTTCAGCACCACTTCATGCTACACAGTGGAAGAAGTGAGGGTAATATAATTTGGGATTTTGCTCATAGAATTTCATAATGCAACTTTTAGGAGAATATTAAGTAACGCTTTCTGTAAGATACTTTGTAATGCAAATAATCTTTAGCAACGTGAGAAGTCCTTAACTTCCCTCTCCCCACTTCAATTTTATATACTTTCTTTAAGGCTAAGTTTTAAACTCTTTTGGGATATGTTCTCTTTACCTCCAACCAGCTGGCACAGTATCTCTGCTGACAGCACAAATTCAAAGGTCAACTCCAGAAAACTCTTAAATGCATGCATGGTTAGCACTTATTCCGGTTCTAAAGGAGAACTGGATGGGAAGTTGTGGTGGGAAAGAAAAAAGCAATGAGGCAAAGGGGAAAGAGAAACTTCAATTGTAGTTCGCAAACGTCCAAGGTGCTGAAAGAATTTAACATTAAATTAGTCTCAATATTAAGTTTCAGCTGCTTCACAAAGTGGTCCTTATCTTAATCTCTCTTTCCCCTACAATGTAGCACATAATAGGTTTTTGATTAAATGAGAACAAGGAAAACAAGGAACCCAAGACCACCACTTAACATTTCATTGCGTAATACAGCTTAATATTTAAGTATGTGGACTCTGGGTTCAAACTAGTTCTGTTATTTGCAGCTGTCTGCCTCATTTTTCTCATCTTTAAAATGGATTTACGGGTCTGATCTTAGAATTAAATGAGTTAATACATGCAAAGTGCTTGCTTGTCTGCGTCATTCTTAGTTGATTTAAGGAACAAAATCTCTAGAAAGGCACGGCCCTACTAACTTCTGCATGCTTACCAAGGGGCTAAAGCAATACCCAAACCTGGATACTTTTAAAAATAAGCCAACTGACAACATGCTCTAGACTATGGCCACCCATCAGAACGAGGTGGAAGCCAGCGAAGGCTGAAAATGTCAGCGCTCCTCGCCCCGCCCGCCCCCAGCGCGATGCCGCCACCAGTTTGTCAAATGGAGCAAAGTCCCCTGGGAAGTGTAGTCTTTAGTCCTTGAGAAGAACTTCAACCATGGACTTAAGAGCCATAAGCAGTGAAAGGTGTGGGGTGTTGGCTAACTCAAAAGTGTGCGGAGCTACAGAGTTGTGTTAGGTCACTTACCTGAGTCTCCCAACACCAGTACTTTCACCCGATCCAGGGATGCCATCTTACCACTGCCTCCTCTTGGTTAACGCCTGTTCCGGGATTCTAGACCAATCAGAGAGCGGCATGGGGATCAGGAGCCTTCAATTTCATTGGCCGCTCAGAGTTCGACAGTCTTGATTGAAGGCTTCACTGTGCTTATTGGCCCGTCTGGTTAAAGGGAGTGGGTTTACCAAGGCTGGTCGCAGGAATAAAGCGTTTTCTTTGTCGCACAGATGGCGTGTGCTCCTGTAAGCCGGTAGTTGAGAAGCAGAGGGAAGCTGTAGTAGGGGAGTGTTCCTGGATTCGCTTCGGTAAATTTCGGTAAACCTTATTCCTTGTTCCCAGTTCCCTGGCCTGGCGTCTCTCTCCTCTTTATTTACTCCTGTCTCGCTAGGCACCCTCTCGCCTTGGTCCTCCAAAGAATCACTGACCCGGGAGCTGCCCATGTGCGACCTCGGATAGGACAAACTTAGCTGCGCCGTGCATGTGTGTGGCCCTGGACCCATGTGGGTTAGTCTGAGGGAGCGTCTCGGGGTCTTGTGTGGGGAGAACTGAACACTATTGATCCCAACTCGGACTTCACGGTTTGTGCCGCTTTTTATGTGTGAAGATGGAGCGTGTTGTGAAATACAGCCTGTACAGTAACAGAAAACTGCAGCCAAATGTGTAGAATCCAAGTTCATCCAGAACTAGAATAGTAGTATGTTGGAATAATCTAATTGAACACCTTGCATCCGCTCCTTTTTCCTTTTATTCTCCTCCCTGAACTCAGCATTTTTTTTAAAACCACAAATTTGATCCAGTCACCTCCTGCTTAAAGTTAGTTAAAAAAAGAGGGTGGCTTACAGTTGTCTTTTTCTATTAGCGAAGCAAGAATGGAACAAGTGAACGTGAGGAAGTTGTTAAAATGGGCATGTTGGAAGAACACGTGGCTAGGAGATGTATTGAAAGTTTTTTGTAAGTACTTGACTAGCCACCGATGCTCGAAGTTCCTTGGTGAACATGATGAAGCCCCTGGTCTTAGACATAGTCATGCAGCAAGTACAAGAATGGGAAAGAGATATGAGGATGTATAAAAGGAGATTATTCTATGCTACCACAAGGGGCCTGGGAAGGCCTCTGCAAGAAAATGACACTTGAGACTTGACGGATGAATAGGAAAAAGGAGTTTGGACCTAGCTTCAGGAGCAGAGAGAAAGCATATGTGGCTCCTGCATTTGAGAGTATGCTGGTGTCTCTGGGTAACAGATTGACAGTTGTTCCTTTCAACTTTATTTCCCTAACTTTGTGCCTGGGTGTTTGTATGATTACAATACCTGTGGGTCTGGACTGGGGATGGGGATAGGTGACTTTGGACGATGACTGATAGACTCTAAAGATAAAAAAGGAAACGAGGACTCTTAGAGATCACACACTCAAATCTCCAAAAACCAGACAAGTGCCTTTTCTAAGTGTGAACTGCTATTCAGCTTCAGCTTATTGTTTCCATGTGGAAATGTAGGCTTACTTTTTGCTCAGATATTTCTAGTTTTCAAGAGGAGCTGGAAGTTGAAATTTATGCAAACCCATAATTTTTAAATGTTGACAGCGAATTCACAAAATGTTCAAAACATTCCTTGGATAAAACAATGTGTATTGCCTGCCTTTTACACCTCTGTCTTAAGTTAAGAAATCTAGAGATTGAATTAGGAGATGCAGCTTGAATGGGAAATGGGAGGTGGTGGAGAAGATAAGACAGTGGTCAGGGAGAGGATTTCAAAATACAGCTTGACCTCATTCCTGAGCTCCAGTTTTATTTGTTCAGCTACTTGCTAGGCATTTTCAGAGGAATATGTTATGTTTTATCCGCGAAGTTAGACTTCTCATAATGAACACTTCATTCCTTCCAAAGTTACTCTTCAGGTGTTACCTATTTCCACAGTACTTTTCTTGGTTACAGTGTCTGGAAGTAAAGAGTTTTTAATTGCATTTAGTCCATTCATCAACTGATAGAGACACTATTTATTACTCTTTATATAAGAAGAAATTGAGGCTGAGGATTTTCTGGTGTCACAGTATAAGAAGTGGCTTAACAAGACCCAGTCTCTAAAGGGGAGAAGGCTAGGTATGTGGGTCAGTGCAAAGGCCCTGTGTTCAATCCTCAGTACCTCCCTCCTCCCCCCCCAAAAGTGGAACTGGGATTCAAAACCCTAGACTTTTTGATTGCAGAGTCCTTAATTCCACTCCCTTGCTCTAATCTTTAGAGGTCCCTAGGCACAGGGAACAGGCTGAACAATTAAATGGCACAGGGACCTCTCCAGGCAGGATGTGCATCGGCAAGACATATAATAGCTAGGGACAAAGATTGTCTAGAGCAGCAATCAGGACTTTTGCTTCATATTAGAGTCATCTTAAGAAAGTGTTTTAAATTAGTGTGATGCCTTATCTGGCCCTCCCAGACCAGCTGAAACAAAACTTCTGAGACTAGGGGCCAGGATTAGTATTAAATACTCCCCAGATGATTCTGCTATACAGCCAGGCTTGAGAATCACTGATCTGGTGCATTGAGTGTATGGGGGAAGGGGAGGAGAAAGCAATAGTAGGAAGTAATACTGAAAATATAGGTTATATTGACATTTGTCTGTTATTCTTTGGTCTTTGGACATTTCTGAAACCATTTATTGTATTCTGCCGACTGGCAAATGTGCAAACAACAGAAAACCAAAGCTGAGTTTAAGTACATTGTATAGACTAACTGGGAAAGGAGACCAAAATAGGTTCAGTAATGTGCTATTATTCTTTTAGTATTGAATACAGATATCCTTAATGCCTAGGGTGACAAGAAGGATCTTGGATGCTGGTGTGGATCTAGGTGTTACTTTGTTATCTCCCCTTGTATATAGTTACACCTGAGTATTTATAAACAAGTGTATATGTTATTGCAACTGACTCCTCCCTTTAATTTTTCCTTTATTTGAGGCAGACTATATGTGTGTGTGTGTGTGTGTGTGTGTGTGTGTGTATGTATGTTTTTTTAAACCCGAAATATGTGTATAGCTTGGTTATATAGGAATTTCTTTATGGTATGGTACAGTGTTTATAAAAATATCTCTTATAGAAAGGAGCATTAAATCTGATGTTGTGGGTAACCACTGATTTCAAATGAGAGGTTCAGTTGAAACTAGTTTTAATGATAGAATATTATTCCTCATTGATGTAGTTCAGTGGGGTACTCTTGTTAAAAATCTCTCTAATCTTAGGGAGATTTCACCAGATGTAGTCTGTGGAGAGCCTGGCCATTTGTACTTTGGACTGTCTTAAATTGGTATGGAAGGTGTTCTTTGTCCTTCCTGCACACTTTACTTATATTTTCATTTATTAATCACAACACCACCATTATCTTTACTTTGTAGAGGATAAATTATGACTTAAAAGTTATTTAAAGGGTTTGGTCAGGCCTATACAGCTACCAAAACACAGAAACATGTGCCAGTTTGGGACTTTGTGAGGACAGCTTTCCACTATGACATGGAAACTAGGCGTGTGTAGTTTCTGTTTTGTCCTATAAGGAACCTGGTATTTAAGGATATCTCCTCCCTACCACCACCACCACCTTTTAAAATAACAAGATGGTGTTTACTTAATTATCAGATTTCACTTTTCAAGGTTGGTAAAACTGTCTGGATCTAAGTGTTGATTTCTTTCAGATTTACAACAGTTAATGATTTTGCCAAAGTCCCAACTGGTGATTACTTATGGTATTGATTGTTGTGATTTTATTGTGAAAGCATGATCCTTTAAAACTTTCTCCAGTCTTGGTAGAAAAATTTTACTCAAGAAAGGAAACATAAACACTTTAAAGATGTGCTAATTTTGGGATTTCTCAGGAGGTTTCCAGTGTTCCTAGAGAATATTAAGAATTATAGCAGGCCTGGTGGAGTATGTCTATAATCCCAACACTCTGGAAGGCTGAGGCAGGAGGACTGCAAATTTGAAACCAGCCTGTGCAACTAGCAACTTAGTGAGACTCTGTCTCAAGGTAAAAAATTAAAAAAGAGCTGGTGATGTAGCTAGGTGTGAAGGCCCTGGAGTCAGTCTCTAGTACTGGGGGAAAAAATGTATTTCTGTGTTTCTCATTCTGAAATAAAGTGGGCTTGATATAATATGTCATTGTTATAAATAAGCCATTTTTTAAAATTGAGCACTGTCAATCATGAAAGTAACCATATAAGAAATATATTCAGGTTGGGGGTTTAGCTCAGCAGCAGAGCGCCTGCCTGGCAAGTGTGAGGTCCAAAGTTCGATCCTTGGTACCAAAAAAAAAAAAAAGAAATATATTCAATTTTTAGATATAAGCTTTTGTGCATTATAGAGGAAAACTGTTCTTCCCCGTTAAATGTTTAGGTATTAGAAGTCTTTTAAAGCAATGTTTGAATACCTTTGTGGCACTCCAAAATAGTAGCTACTAGCTATTAGTAACATATTAATTATTCTAGATTTAAAATAATTATCATGTCCTCATGCCTACTAATCTTTTTTTCTGAATTCAGTATATATAAAGTTGAAATTTGCTGCTAAAGATGGCAGACCCAGATGTCCTCACCGAGGTTCCAGCAGCATTGAAGAGGTTAGCCAAGTACGTGATCCGGGGTTTTTATGGCATCGAGCATGTGTTGGCCTTGGACATCTTGATTCGGAACCCCTGTGTGAAAGAGGAGGATATGCTGGAGCTACTCAAGTTTGATCGGAAGCAACTTCGATCAGTTTTGAATAATTTAAAGGGAGACAAGTTCATCAAATGCAGAATGAGAGTAGAGACTGCTGCAGATGGAAAAACCACTCGCCATAACTACTACTTTATCAATTATCGTACTCTTGTTAATGTAGTAAAATATAAACTAGACCACATGAGAAGGAGGATTGAAACGGATGAGAGAGATTCCACCAACCGGGCTTCCTTCAAATGTCCTGTCTGTAGTAGTACTTTCACAGACTTAGAAGCTAATCAGCTCTTTGATCCCATGACAGGTGAGCCTTAATCCAGTTTGTGAATCAAGTGAAATACGATGTGAACCCATTTTCTTAAATTGATTCATCTAGTTTTTAAGCCAAGCATGTACCTTTTAAAAGTGAATGGATTGGTGTGAATCAGTAGTCAATTGTACTGAGCTGGTTGTTTATGCTTTGAGAAGTTTTTGCAAAGACTTCTTCACAAGGGAGTAGATTTATCCAAGGGATTTTTCTATCTATGGCTTTTCTGTTTCTACTCCTAACCTCACCCCTTATTTACTGCTACAGCCTAATCTGAAGGACTGACTTCTACCACTCCAAGGCTATTCTCACTTTACTTTTGACCTCTTCTTTCAGCAAGTATTTGAGCACCTATTTGTGCCATTCTCTACAGATCATCTAGTTACACTACAATGTATCTATGTTTTGTTAGTGGAAGTAAAAAGTGCTATCAGGCATACATAATTAGGGCATATAATCTGAATTTAGGGAAGACCTCTGGGAGAAGTTAAGTAACAACTAAGATGGAAGGGATAAGTGAGAGTTACTGAGATAAAATAAGAGGGAGCCCTTTCTAAATTAATTAATGGATATTTACTGCTTCTTAACCATGCACCAATGGAAGAGTTTCAACAACATGTATAATTCACCTCATTTAACACCTTTTAATTTCAAAGATTTTTCTTATCAATACAATTTACAAAAAATGTATTTTCCAAAAATACAATATATCTGTCATTAGCATGAGAAATTTTAAAGTGCTGGGTTGCAGAGTTATTTTGTCTTGTTTTTAAACTAGAAAAAAGACTGTAGTTAATTACCCAGTGGATCAATTTTGCCTTATTTTCTAGAGGTAAAATCTATAGAAGGACTTATACTGTTAAATTAGATTATTCCTTTGTTATGATGGAACTTGAGAGTAGAGGTTAGTTAACCTTTAGTTTTAAAGAGTTTTAAATTTTTAATTGATAATTTCATAATTTTTAGCTTAATTTTACATTGAAAATTTTAATATAAATTTTTCTACATGAAATATTTTGTTTTAAAAATTACATATTTGTAAACATGCTTAATTTTCTAATATTTGTATATGTTATATAAGGTACATTTTATAGAATTTTTTAAAATGTTTAAATGGAAGTAACCCCAAAATCAATTTAGATTATTAACAAAAAGAGCTGTTGAGCCTGTGACCTTTACTTTGTCCTTATTTGCTGTGATGCATTTATTTTGGATGAAAAAAAATCACTTAAAAAATTGTCATTTTGTTATTAAAAACTTGTTTGAACCTATTTACCCTGAAAAGTCTTTATTAGGAGGGATCTTGGTTATAAGAAGATCTTGGTTATAAGATCCTGCTTATAAGAATTGCCTGAGTATTCTATAAAGGAGGAAGATTGTGGAATATAGCTAGAACTCACAATAGACTAGAAAGGGCTTGTGATTTTTGCCATTTACTCTAACAGATTTCTTAAAGAGCTATGGGTTTTGGTTTTGTGATTCTCTGCAGATATTGGTGTTACAATGGTCCTGTCTTCATCATCCTTGACTGCAGTGGAAGGTGTTATCCAGTTCCTCAGACAGGATAATCTGAAGTAATAATGCTTCTACTACATTTATTCATCATTTGAGTCTTAGTTAATTTCATGAAACTTTCCAAAAGGAAATGAATCCACTATTTGTATGCCATTATTTAGGAGACTGATCTAAGATGCTCTTTGCATTTCATCTATGGTTAGTGCCCAAATGAACCTAGCCATGATAGCTATGATTCATAGGTTGTAGAAGAACTAGCCAGATATCCAGATATAGCCAGAGTTATTCGAATCAGTGAGTTGAGATAGACTAAAAAGAGACATGAAAACATTTGTTTTGAAAAAAAAGCTAAAAGGCATCTACGGTCATGCCACTGTGAACATGCCTGATCTCATCGGAAAGAAAGATAACATGGTGAAATCTGGTTGTGGTCCATCTGAACAACAGCTATATTTTTAATATGAGGGCTGTTGGCAGTATGAAAATAGAAAGAAGGAGTGGTAGAGAGCAAGAAAACATCACTTACCTTGATGTTATTCCAATGGAGGGTTCCCTGATCAGCCTGTACTAATATGTTCGATTGGCAGTTCTTTTCTCCCAGCATATTCAGAGTTATTATGATTGAAAATTTATAATCATTAGGGACCCTAGTTCTGAGAATGAACCCACCTTTTGATTATGATTTAGCCTTCATTGAATTTTCCTTGAAAGAGAGAATGTGCTAAGTTGTTATTAGGCCCCCATCTACTTACTTAGTTCTGGTGTGTTTTTTTTATTGTTGTTTTTGTTTTTAACTCTTAATACCTTGATACTCTTCATTGATCTGTACATTGTCTTTAGAAATCTACAGTGTTTCTCTTCTGTCCTGTTTTGCTTGGTTTCCATCTCCTCCATTGTGAAAATGAAATAAGCATTTTGTATGTGTGGCAGGGGAGGGGAAGATTTTTCTGCACTGTCTAAATTGGGAGACTGCAGTTTTCATTCTAACCTCAGTACTGCGTAAACCTAATCCTATTTCCTGGTTGCTATTGGAGATTGATATTATTTCTGAACATGTGTCTGGCAAAATGATGGAGATAACTGCTACTTTATTCCTTTTTCAGCAGGTCTAAGGTTAAACTAGTTTATCCCTGCCATTAGGGAACATTCAGGAATTAGATTTAAAGCCTTCTACACTTTGTTTTTCTGATTTAAAAGTTCTTAAGTTTGTGGGTAGCTTTCTCACCAATGGTGGTGACTCTTAAATGAGCTCCTGAAGAGCACCTGACAGTTTTGGGTTCAAGACTCTGAGCTCAGCAAGGATTATTTTACCAGTGTCAATTGCCATACAGGCCAGTGATCTCTCTATTTCAGTTTACAGCTTGTAGGTTTTCGCCATACTTGCCTTTCCAATTTTACCTTTGGTGTTCACTCTCTTTAAATAGACTTTGTATTTCTATTTTGGCAGCTCAGCCCCACAGGTGATTTAGTTAATGGTACTTCTAAGTTAAGTTCAATAACATGTCATATTTATTTTTAGGTGTTAAGGTTGAGTGATACAGAAGTAGCTTTATATTTTCCATTTTTAATTTAAAATTATACAGCCATAATATCAGAAAATTCGAAAAAAAAATCACAAAACCACCACCTTTTGCATATTACCTTTGGGTTTAATCATGGTCTAGAATAGTTTGTTATCACTTGGTTCCTTAATGTACCAAACTCTTGTTTCTAGTTAGTGTTCAAAATATGTTTTAATAGATAGAATTTCCCATTTCCTTACTATCCCTTCTGGGTGCTTTGATTTTATCTATTTTCTACTGGTATAAATGAGGTGCTTTAAGCCTTTGTCTATCTTACATTTTATTCTTGTTAAAGTGTTTCCTTACTAATTGTCAGTAGTAGGATTATTGGGCAAAAGAATGTACTTTTACAGCTTCCATAAAAGCACATATGACACTGAAGTTTTATTGTGGGTGAAGTAAAATTATTAGGTGTTTGAATTAGAAATAGTTTGGAGGCCCATATTACTGAATTTATCTAGAGACCACAGAATCTCATTTTAAATAAACTTGGAGATGAAAAACAATTTTAATTTTTTAAAATAATATAAATATATATTTAACAAATCTTAAAAATAGGAATTGAGAGATTGTGTAGTTCAACTCATAAAATGATTGTGTGGATGCCACCTGCATCATTCCTATGTTTTCCTACACTTCTTACAAAGTAATATAATGCATAAATCTACAAGTGCATGAAGTGCTAGGATCTTTGAGACTGAATATTAGGGAAGAATATCATAGTCTTTGGAGATTGAGCTTAGTTTTGTGTAACTCCCTGAGCATGTATTTTAGAAACAATAGGTTTTAGAATCAGCATGCAGAAATCTTTAATAACTAAGTCTCTAATAACTTTAAAAATAGCTAACAGTGGAATAGATAATGAGTTCTGAGGTACTTGGAATATTCAAATAAACTTTGTATCTACATGGAATATTTGTAGTTAAACTTGGGGTTAAATCATGAGTTCCTTCTTCCCTCATGACTGCCAATAAATTTTTTTGGTTTAGACAAATCAGTTGTCTGACCCCTATATCATTGAAATTTATTTTCTATTTCTTTTAAATGCATTTTTAAATTATTAGGGTCCCATATTTGTGAGACTCTCAAAGACTTGTTAATGATGTTTGCCTTCATAGGGCAAACTACTTGATTCTGCCTTCATCTCTCAATATGTTGGACAGGAGATGTCTTGTAAGCAGTGTTTTTAGTTCTTGAAGTGCTGAAAGCACAGACAAACAAAAAGAAATCTAAGACTGTTTGCTCAATTGCTGAGGCCTCAGTCTTCTGAAATTTTGCCCAGGATGGGTTAAGTAGAAAATTATACCGGAAAGTTTAAAGGTGTGCAATTGGCTGGGGAGATGAAAGGGTAGAAAAAGTGATTATTAGAATCAGTTAAATAGCTATATAAAAACAAATAATAGAAAACAGCAAGGTACAAGTTTCTTCCCTCATCTATCCTCCTCTATCTCACACCTTTGTCTAAATTTTAAAAATTCTGCTGCTTTTCATCTTGAGAATTTGAAATCCCTTTTAAAGCCTTTGTGCTTTATGTTTTTTTGTATTTTGATGCTAAAATAGAGCTGTTTTATTTGTGGAGAGTTTGTTTTGATGCTGGCATACAACACTTAACTTGATTATGATCTTTCAAATATTCATATTAGGACCACAAACTGTTTTTATTCCCTTCTGTACTAGGAATTGAACCCAAGACCATTGCACTGAGGTACGTCCAAGCTCCTTTTTTATTTTGAGATAGGGTCTCACTAAGTTGTCCAGGTTGAGTTTGAACTTGTGATCCACCTGCCCCAGGCTTGAAAAGTGTTGGAATTACAGATGTGCACCACCATACACTGCATTAAGACTTCAGACATTTTCAGATTATCATTTTTTTGTCCCACCCCAAGCATAATACATTTTTTACTCCTCTATAGTGAGATC